GCAACAAATGCCTCGTTTGTAATGGGTTTTAATGTTTATGTCTCGTCGCTCCGGCCGGACACGGCATCAACAGTATGTGTGGGGCGTAACATTTCCGTCTCACGCTTGAGGTATTCGGCCAATCACAACGCACTGGATAGCTGGGCACACCTAGCACACCTCGCTTTTTTAGAACGATGAGCTTTGTAAAAATAGACGCGTTTCAGAAAGGCGGGGCATAGAGGAAAAACAATAATGTACAGTATGTGGAAAATAATGTGTTTTTTTTACCTTAAATAACATAAACACATTTCATTACACCAAATACACAAAATAATGTTCTTTTTAGCAACGTCATATGACCCCTTTAAAATCTATGGGAACTGTACTTAATTGTTATAACCCTCAAAGATGTTGTATAAAATCCTGCTCACACACTCACCCACTGCAGGCACTGCAGAGTACGTTCTTGCTTAGCTGTAGTTTGGTAGTTTTTCCATTGTACAGATCTTCCAAAGACACTCTATCAGGTATTTAAAAAGAAAGTTTCAAAATTGTTTGTTTAAAGAACATTTTTCATTTTTTTTATGCATTTTATGGTACATCTCACAACAGGTTTCTTTTAATTTGGAATAATGTGTACAGATAAATCCTACACAATAAAGGCATCTTTACACAGCAGAGTTAAGGCTGCTCTGTGCCTGCTCAAAATTATGTGTAATGCTGTAATGCTGCATAAAAGTCAGACTAAATTATGCCTGTTCCGACCAACCTCAGCCCATTGCATCAAAGAATACTGTTTTTGCTGTGTAAATGCATTTATGCCACCTCTGAACAGCATTAAAGCAGTAAATGCCACTTCAGACGCACATCTATGCCACCTTTGCAGTGTAAATTTGGCATTATTGATAAATAAGATCAATTTTGATTTCATGTTGACTTAAAGGGATTGTTCATCCAAAAATTACAATTCTGTCATTTACTCACCGTCAAGCTGACGGTAGCCATTGACTTCTACACTATGCACAAAAATACTATGGAAGTCAAGTCAACGGAAGGCTACCGTCAACTGTTTGGTTAACAACATGCTTCAAAATATCTTCTTTTGTGTTGAACAGAAGAAAGAATCTCATACAGGTTTGGAACAACTTGAGGGTGAGAAATGATGACAGAATTTTCATTTTTGGGTGAACTGTCCCTTTAAAATAGGTCATGCATAAATATTTTTCCTCTTCCCTTAAGTACTTTATTTTTTATTCTCAGGTTTTTTCTTCATATTTACTCACTTCAGTGGATGTATCATGTCCTCCCCTCTCCGTCGGCCACCGTTCCGGCTCCTGCTGCTCTGGCTGCCCATAAAGCCGAACAGACCTCCGCCAAAGATGTGAGAGAAGATGTCCTCCATTCCGGCTCCTCCACCGCCACCCTCACGCAAGCCCTGTTCCCCATACCGGTCATACAAGTCCTTCTTCTCCGGGTTAGTCAGTACCTCGTATGCAAAACTGATCTCCTTAAACTAAATCAAACAGGTCAAAATATTATTATTATTATTATGTTAATTATCATGTTAATAGCTTTCGATAAAATGAGAACTCACCTTGTCACCTGCATTAGGGTTTTTATCGGGGTGGTACTCTTTCGCTAATTTCCGGTATGCCTGAAAATGAAAATCACAAAAATATCACTAATTAGTGATGTTTAATAAGGCCACCAGTACTATTACTTACAATCAGAGTTAAGTTTTAAACGTTGATGTTCAGTCTGACAAATATTAATTTCCCATAGATTGGCACTGAAAGAGGGACCGGCGTCATAGAAACATAGTAAATATAGTATATAAATATAGTAATATCAGAGACTTGAAGATAAGCTCTTTTGATTTAATAAGTAACCACCTAGCAACTACCCACTACACCCTTGCATATCGGTACAAATGTTTTAATTTACTATTAATTTGCAGTTATTTAAAAAAGTACCTATAATTACATAACATAAGTAATTAAATGAATATGTACAAATACATTTATTTTTAAAGTTGCTAAATTAATAAAAAATAAATAAAAATGCGGATTGAGAATTGTTTGGGAATTGTGACTCCCAGAATCAGAACTTGATCAAAGATTCTCACACCTAGCTGGCATTTTTTCATAAAATGTAAAAATTTACACCCTTGCATATCGGTACAAATGTTTTAATTTACTATTAATTTGCAGTTATTTAAAAAAGTACCTATAATTACATAACATAAGTAATTAAATGAATATGTACAAATACATTTATTTTTAAAGTTGCTAAATTAATAAAAAATAAATAAAAATGCGGATTGAGAACTGTGACTCCCAGAATCAGAACTTGATCAAAGATTCTCACACCTAGCTGGCATTTTTTCATAAAATGTAAAAATGTAGTTTCTGGGTAGTTGAAAAATAACATGGACATTATTATTAAACAATTTTAGGTTACAGTGCATATACTGTACACTGTAAAAAAGATTTTTTGAAGTTGTAAATTAAAGATGGAGTACATTTACATTAGAATAAGAAAATATACTTAAGTTTTTCAAAATTTTACATTTAATTCAACGTGCTATTTCTTTGTAATTGTTTGTGAAATTTACTTGCAATTTCTGAGTGAAAATTGTTTCTACACCAACTTTTTTTGGTGTAATATAAACATGTGTATTTGATGTAATTGTGGTTACAGTTTAGATTATTCATAATTTTAGTATTTAAATAGTGCAGTTTGACAAATGAATTCTTAATTCAAAATTATTTTCATTAATGTATTAGTTGTAAATTAGTATTAGTAATGTATTAGTTAAAAAATAATTAAACAGTTTAAAAATTTTTTACATGTACTATAGGATGTCACACTGCTTAAAATTTCTTGTCAACAACCTTTACAATTTTACCAATTCCTAATCTGTGACTACATATTAAACTAACGTCTAAAGTCATTGAAAAGCCCAATTGTGAGTAATGAGGCGAAGACCCCAAATTCCCCAGAATCTGACTGATCAAAGGAAGCTGATTTCAGAGCCATGCTTGAACGAAACCCTATCAGGCTATTTTTCTTTCACTAAGCACATTACATGGATTGTGCCTTTTCTCGGACCTTATGGCTGTGAATTCACATTGCCAGTTCTTTCATGCATCTATTGTGTGATAACTCCACATATCCCACGTTATTTTGGGTCTGACTGTGCTTTCTGAAATCCTTTGTGTGCACACAATCAAACAACAACAAAACGCCAACATAACACTCCGACAACTTGAGCATCAAGGCCAGAGCCTGGTCACCTTCTAACAAAGGACTGAGCACAAATATGAGGATTCACATCGAGGAAATACCTAAAACAAGACCTTGCATTAACCATCTCTGACTCGTTGCATATCAGACACGAGCTCAGGTTTAGCACAGCAGCTGGTAAGCTAAGCATCTCCTTCCACTGTAATGCTCTTGGACTGCAGCACCTGGCTGATGCTCTCAACCTAAGGACACGTACAGCAATACAAATAGTAAACAAACTACATATTTGACTACGTATCTTTCAAATCATCCCCCAAATCATTTCCAGACCCGAAGAAAGGCCACACTGGAGGATCCAGGCAGCGGGCAACCTGCAAAACACACCAGTGGATCCCCAACATGCAGCGTCCCCCGTCACGCGCTTCTTTGGTTTCATTACAACACGACCCGCGAGGCGGAAAGGACCGTCTCTACCTTTTTGAGCTCGTTCTCGGTGGCTGACGGAGATACTCCGAGGATGTCGTAGAGTTTAGTGTCTGCGACGTTGGCCATGTCTGCAGACCGGTGTAGCAGCTGCGCGAGGAGGAGCGGAGAGTCCGGCTGAGCACAGTGCGCATGCGCTCGCTTGCTCTCCTGCGCCACAGTGTGGTTGATAAACAATCACGTGTCTTTTTTGTGTGGAAACGAAACAGTTAAAATCTTTCTAGCTTTCATTTATTTGTGCTGTTTACTTTTTTCTCTTTTTTTTGTGTCATACGATGCCTCGCCCTAAAACCACAAATAAAGTTTTACTTTGACTGGATTTTAATTTAATTTCTGATTACTGCTGTTACACATAAATGTTTATTTTTCGCTTTTAAATAAATCATTCAAATAAAACATTTGTTTACACACACACACCGCCCAGGCGCGTTCACAGCATGCGCGTGCGCGTCTCCTGGTCGGCCATTTTGACTTGAGAAATAATGTCAAGAGCTTTTTCTGCTCACAGTTTAAAGCTCTGAAGGGGCCAGTGCTGAAGCAGGGCTGCTGAAGGAGGAAGGATTTTGAGGGATCTATGGATGCAGGACGATGCATCGCCATCCAAATATCACATTTCCCCTCTGACAGCCTACAGAACGCAGGTCTGAGCACAGATTGCTGTTTGTTTGATATCTCAAAGTATTACTGGTAAGTTCACGGCAGTTGATTTGTTCATAGTAATGTTATTTATCACTGTTTCAGTGCGTATATTTTCTGGTCGATCGTCTCTTGTGAACACAGCAGATGCGTCTAATGACTTGCATATGGACAAATGAGCAATGATTAAATATACCATGATTATGTTAAACACAAATGCCTTTCACCTTGAACTATATGCTCATATACAGTCTTCATATACTCCGAGATCAGATAAAATAATTGTACTTCGTAATATTGCCTTGACATGCTTTTTGGGCTCCAGAGTATGTTTACTTTTGTTAATGCAAATAAGCATGATGAGATTTGAAGGCTTTTGGCAGTGGAGGCATTTAGTATGCTTTGCAACGTCCAGTAATCAGGCATGCAAATTCCCAGCGCTCTGATTGGTGTTTCGAGTCTCGCTTCTGCGTTCTGATTGGTGGATCACGGACAGCGACACTGAGCGAGGCCGCTGTGTGTCTGTTTGACATTGATATTGAACGTGGGGTTTGATTTTGCCTCGTTATTATAGAGACGTTTCGTGTGAACTTTAGTGAAAAATATCATGGGAATGAGAAGAATTGTGCAGTCGTCTGATGGTCATTGAATGCCTGTAGCTCTGTCACACACGGAAGTGTGTGTGTGTGTGTGTGTGTGTGTGTGTGTGTGTGATTTGATCACACACACATGTTGATCTCTGCAGCATTCCTGCTTTCTCCAAACACACATGATTTCAGTTCTTCAGTATTTGCTGCCTGGTGTTCATAATGTTTAAACCTCACTTTGACAGTTCTGCCATTAGATGAATATATAAAAGGAGACATCAAACATGTATTTAAATTCTGTATTTACCTAGCTATAGTTGTGTCCTTCTATGATTCTGTCTATCTATCTATCTATCTATCTATCTATCTATCTATCGATCTATCGTTCTGTCTGTCTGTCTGTCGTTCTATCTATCGTTCTATTGTTTTCTATCTATCTATCTATCTATCGTTCTGTCTGTCTGTCTGTTATTCTATCATTCTGTCTAACATTCTATCGTTCTGTCTATTGTTTTTTATCTATCTATCTATATCTATCTATCTATCTATATCTGATGATAGAATGATAGATATAACTATATAGATAGATCGTTCTATTGGTCTGTCTGTCATTCTATCATTCTATCCATCATCTATTGTTCTTTCTGTCAGTCTGTGTCTGTTTGTCTATCTATCTGTCTACCTCAAAATATGTGATATCTAGTGCTGAAAAAGTCATAAAGAAGTAATAACATTAAAAACGATGGAGATTTCTATATAAATGTTATACTTTTGCTCAGCTCTGAAATATTTCTCTCTGTGAGTGTGTTCTATATAAGTGTGTGTGTGTGTTGTAATAGATTTGGTGCAGTATTGGTCTGTGACACTGTATGATATAGTTTAGTCTGGCAGCTGACCTCATATCCGCTGTTTAATCCCATTAAAAGACTAAAAAAGAACATGCTGCTGTTGTTGGTTGTGTGTGTGTGAATACCTTCATGTGTGTTTAAACGAGCTTAGCTTATTCAGCCTGAGTCCTAGTCATATTACGGAACCATGATGTGGCTTAATTGAAGTGTGCATGGCATGCTTTCCTCAGCACTCATCTGACGGACTGTTCATCTCACTGGTCTTAGTCATGTCTTGATGACTTGTCTTTGTCCCTACAGGTGCCTGTGTTGTAATATGAGGCAGCCTTGTGGATGGATGGGATATTTGACCACTGACCACTCGATCTAGTAAACCAATGTGTGTAAACCGGTCTCTGAATCCCAACTAAGGAAACACACCATCTGACTGAAGGTAATTTACTGCCTAAGATGCTCAATGGGTGAATCATAAACAATACCAGCATTGGATTATACACCTCAGCACTCATCTGACGGACTGTTCATCTCACTGGTCTTAGTCATGTCTTGATGACTTGTCTTTGTCCCTACAGGTGCCTGTGTTGTAATATGAGGCAGCCTTGTGGATGGATGGGATATTTGACCACTGACCACTCGATCTAGTAAACCAATGTGTGTAAACTGGTCTCTGCATCCCAACTAAGGAAACACACCATCTGACTGAAGGTAATTTACTGCCTAAGATGCTCAATGGGTGAATTATAAACAATACCAGCATTGGATTATACACATAACACCGCCCTGTATCATATTTGCTGACTGAAATTCAATGCTTGTTTCTTAGTCATTTTGGGCTGCTGATTCCAAAAATACTGCCTGTTTTGCTCTGGCACGTCACACTTTCTCACAAAATCTGATGCATTTTGTAGCTTTTTTGCTTTTAACAACCATTCGTAAGGTTGAAGAAGTGTTGTATTATCCCTTAATCAGCAGAAAAAACTGCCACAAAGACATGATTCCTGTCTTTCTTTGGAAAGGTTAGAACTGTTCATTCAATTCGCTGCCGATTTTCACATGTACTGTATGAATGATTCTGAAGACATTATTTTATGCCTAATCCTGATGTCAAGGATAGAATTATGGCCAGTGACAGAATAAACTGCAAACATGACCCAGATGTTTTCTTCTAAATTTGTGGGTGTTTTACTACATCCAAACAACAGACAGAAAATGACAGATTTAGGCGAAACAGCTTATTTATTTATAAACTTGTGTTTATGTAAAGTTCTTTGACATTGAATGGAGTATTTGAACATAGTTTTCAACCCCTTTGCAGTTTGTACATTATATTATATATATTTTAAATACTTTTTTTTTTATTTAAGACGGAAACCTTTGAGAACTAAAACATTTGACTGCTTTTGTTATTTTGGTAAGTGCAATAAAGCTGATACATATACACTACCGGTCAAAAGTTTGGGATCAGAGTGATTTTTAATATTTTTTTACAGGAGTTTCTTATGCTCATCAAGGCTGCATTTATTTGATCAAAAATATAGGAACAAATGTAATATTGTGAAATATTATTACGGTGTAAAATAAAATTTTTCTATTTTAATATACATTAAAATCTAATTTATTCCTGTGATGCAAAGCTGAATTTTCAGCATCATTACTCCAGTCTTCAGTGTCACATGATCCTTCAGAAATCATTCTAATTAGTGGTCGACCGATATATCGCCAAGGCCGATATATAGGCCGATATTTGGCATTTTTTAAATATCGGCATCGCCCGATAAGTTTTCCTGTTTGGCCGATGCGTTTGAGGCGGGACTTTTATTTTGACAGCGGCAGCCGCAGCGCTCACATTCTCCCTCTTGTTCACTGTCGTCATTAACAGTTCTGTCTAATACGGATAGAAGTCTGTCTAATAATCAGATAGAACGGTTAAACAAAGGAATTTAAAACTTTTATTCAGCAAGGATGTGTTAAATTGTTAAAAAGTGATAGCAAAGATTTATATTTTTAGAAAATATTTATATTTTGAATAAATGCCGTTCTTTTGAACTTTTTATTCATCAAAGAATCCTGAAAAAAGTATCGCAGTTTCCAAAAAAATATTTGGCAGCACAACTGTTGCCAACATTGATAATTCTAATAATAAATCAGCATATTAGAATGATTTCTGAAGGATCGTGTGACACTTTAGACTGGAGTAATGGCTGATGGAAATTCAGCTTTGATCACAGGAATAAATAATATTTGAAAGGATATTAAAATAGAAACCATTATTTTATATTGTAATAACATTTTGCAAGATTAAGTTTTTTTTTTCTGTATTTTCGATCAAATAAATGCAGCCTTGATGAGCAGAAGAGACTTCTTTAAAAAAAATTACAAGTCTTACAACACCGGTAGTGTATATCATCTTCACTTATTTTTTTGATATTTTGAATCCTGTATCATCAAATTATTGTTATACACATAATCCTATGCAATGTAAGATTTGGTGTAGTATACAAGTCCAGGGACAGTCCAACCTGAAGGCAAATGAAATCAGATCAGCTAATAGTATTTAACTGACTGATGCAATTGATTCTCATTACAGCTGACTCGCCGATGTTTAATAGTTGCTGTATGTGCCGCTCTGAATATGTTTTATTTATACTGTAGGTGTTAATTTTACTGTGTATTATTTATACATTGATCTCTTTTGGTGCATTTTCTTTATTGACTTTTTGACTAACCAAGAGTGTTGTTGAGTAAGTGACCTGCAAACTCTGTAAAACATCGGCTTGCTTTGTTATTCTGATATGCTTGAGTAACTCTCTCTCTTTCTGTCTCAGGCCCTCTCTCTCTCTACTGTAAGCTGCAGTCATGTTCTGGAAGTTCGACCTGCACAACTCCTCTCAGATTGAGAAGCTCTTGGAGAAGGAGGACGTGACCCTACAGGAGCTGCTGGATGAAGAAGATGTGCTGCAGGAGTGCAAGACCCAGAATCAGTGCCTCCTCCTCTTCCTCTCCCGGGACAGCAGCATGCTGGATCTCCTCAACCTCATCACGCACGAGCCCCCTGCTGACCGGGAGGAGAGACTGCGCTACAAGTGAGCGAAGAGATGAGTTGCTCTTAAAT